AAGAACAATAAGAAATTAAATTGAAACTAAAAACCAAAACCAAGCAATCATCACAGTAAAAACCTGGCATTTAGGAAAAGATAAGCAACGATTTGAACAGAATAATAAAAGAATAGGAGAAAAAATTGAATAATAAAATCACAGATGAAACTGAAAACCGCTGGGGTTCATGAAGTAAGCCAGATCAAAAAAAGGCAAATAGCGTGTTTTCCCTGATCCATGGTAACTGTTACACAGAGTACAAAAATGTAATCTACATGAGTGAGATTGACATTTTGAGAATTGTTTACTGTTTACAGCCTTTGTTTACACACTTGAGGAACAGCAGGATCCTTTTTTTTCCTAATTTCTAGTTGTTGGATTCTTTATCTAATAGATGTTAAGCCTGTGATTATGCAGTAAACATAAAATATGTCATTGTGAAAATGAAGAAAAAATACAAGGAAGTAGGGAAATGGATGGAGAATGTGGGCGGGAGTAAGGGTAGCTTACTCACTAAGCTATTAAATCTGTGCTTGAAATACCCAAAATTTGTTCACCTTATGTAACTAAAGTATTAAAAAAGAAAAAGAAGATATTACATCTACAGAAAAGAAATTAAAAAATGATAACAAACTATTTTCCAGCAAACTAGAAAACAAAGAAATGGATACATTTCTGAGTATGTATAATTACAAGGAATAAATCAAGAAGATAAAAAAGACAGCCATAACAAATAATAAAAGTTAAGCAATAAATAAAAGTCTGCAACTTAAAGAAAGTCCAGGACCTGGTGTATTTAGAACTGAATTCTGGGGGATAAAAGAGAACAGAAAAGAAGAGAGGAGAGGAGAGAAGAAATACTTAATGGAAAATCAAAAGAATGCAAATCTGGCAAGCTGTTACAATGAGTTCAACATTTATATCAAAACCAACCAAACAGAAAATACACAAAGGAAACTAGACAGCAATATAGCTGATATATTTAGAGGTGAATTATTGACAAAATATTAGCAAACAAAATCTGAAATTACATGGAACACATTCTCACACAGCAGCAAAGTGGAATTTATCCCAGAGATGAAAGGGTAACCTAACCTTTGTAAATCAATAACTATTACAAGTCACATTAACAGAATTAGGAACAAAAAACATATAATTCTATCAATAGTTGTAAAGGAAATATCTGATAAGATTCAAACTTCCTTCATGACAAAATCCCCTCCAAGAAGTAAGCAAGAGCATAACTCAAAATTATAAAAGCTGTAGTCAGAAACCAACAGCCAATATTAGTCCAAAAGGGAAAACTTGAAAGTATGTCCACTCAGATCTGCAATAAGAGAAAGATGTCCACCATCACCACTTTTATTCAATATAGTTTTTGGAAGTAGTAGAAATAGCAGTTAGAGAAGAGAAACACAAGGCATCCAAACTGAAAAGTAGAAAATCAAAACAAGCACACTTGCAGATTCTGATTCTGTATACTGAAAAACACGAACATTTCACTAAAAATTTTTCAGAAATTATGAACCAATCCCTTTAATTCAAAGAATGCAAAATCTAGACATAAAAATGTCTGCATTTTCATATAGCAACAGTGATCCTGCAGAAAGAGACATAAGGACAGAAGCTTCATTCACAATAGCCACGAACATTTAAATTCTTAGAGTTAAACTTACCCCAAGAAGTGAAAGATCTGTACATTGAAAATTGCAAGAGCGATAAAAATTATTTGACCAGAGATTAAGTGCAATAGTAAAATAACGCCTATAATTGGAGTACCAGTTGGAATCTCAGTTGTTATGCTTCTGGCCAATGTTCTTGCTAATGCACCTGGAAAAGCGACAGCAGATGGGCTTAGTGCTTCATCTCCTGCCGTTCAGATGGGAGACCTTAGTGGAGTTCCAGGCCCAGCCAGTAGAAGATTTACTTCTGTGTCTTTCCCTTTCTGCCACTCAGCCTTACGAGTAAATACAATAAATACACTTTTAAATTATCAAGAGTCCAAATAATAAAAATATATTCTTTCCTCACAGATTCAAAAAATTAATATCATTACTATGTCATTAATGCCTAAATCAATCCATATATCTCAATGTAATTTCCATCAAAATATCAATGACATCTTTTTATTGGATACTCAGATATACAGAGAGGAGGGGAGACAGAGAGAAAGATATTCTATCCAGCCATTCATTCCCCAAGCAGCCACAACAGCCAGAGCTGCAGCAATATTTTAATAGAACAAGGAAAAACATTTTAATTTTGGACCACAAAATACTTGGAATAATCTAAGTAATTTGAGGCCAAACAACAGCAAAAGAGAAGATGGGTACATTGTGACTTCAAAGCATACTACGCTATAGTAAATAAATCAGTATGATACACAAGTAAACACTGAAAACTAGTGTAGAGTCCAGTGGAATAGAGCAGAGAGCATGATAAATAATCCCGTTACACACAGCCAAATGATTTTTGGCACAGGTGCCAATAATATACTTTGAAGAAATGATAATGTTTTCAATAAATAAAATAGAGAGTAAAAACTGGAAATCTGTGTAGAAAAATAACTTTAGACCCTTATCTATCATCATATTAAAAATCAACTCATGATATATCTAAGACCTAAATTTAAAAGCTGAGACTTTGAAACTGCTGGAAAATATAAGGGGAAATATCAAAACATTGATGTAGGTAGTGACTTTCTGGATAATATTCCAATAGCACAGGTAAGAAAAAGAGACAGATTATCGCACTCAGAAGCTTCTGTGTAGCAAAGACAATAATAGGATGAAGATACATGTGACAGAGAAAATATTTGCGACGGCTTACTCAAGAAAGAACTGATAAGCAGTATATATCATCAGCAACTTTAAATATTCAATAACAAAATAACAACCAGTCAGGACAGACAGCAAAAGGCGAAATACAAATGACCAATGAATTTTGGCAAAAACTCTCATTGTCACTAGTCACCAGAAATGCAAACCTAACTACAGTGAGCTATCAGTTCGCTGCAGTCAGAATGGCTGCTAACGAAAAGACAGTATTCTACAAATACTAACACAGCATGGAGATCTCTCTCTCTCTTACTCTCCTTTCCTCTCTCTCTCCCTCACACACACACACACACATACACACACGAAACAGAATCATCATGTGACTCAGCAATCCCACTACTAATAGGTATAGCTAAAGCATGTGGAAGTATTGTTTTATTCCACCATGTCTATTTTGGCACCGCAACTAAAATATGGAAACAATAATAGGGGAAACTATTGTTTTCTACATGTAAATTACCTGAAATCAAATGTTTTATAAAAAGCAAATTGTATCTACAATACACATTATATATATATTCTATATCTATATATAATTTTCCTTTGCTGCTTCTATTGCTAATAAGAGATGATCTCAAAATAGACTGAGGAAAATATGTCAATAAAGTATATCTTTAGCATTTTGCATAGTACATTACCCTACTATAAACTTTTATCTCACTTCTCACATCCTTTTTTGTTAGTTTTTATTTCCAAGATTTATTTCTTTTCATTGGAAAAGTCAAATTTACAGAGAAGGAGAGACAGAGAAAAAGATTGCTTACCTGCTGGTTCACTCCGTAAGTGGCCCCAACAGTTAGAGCTGAGCTGATCCAAAGCCAGGATCCAGAAGCTTCTTCCAGGTGTCCCATGCAGTTGCAGGGTTCCGGGGCTTTGGGCCGTTCTCTACTGCTTTCCCAGGCTGCACTCAGAGACCTGGAAGGGAAGTGGAGCAGTCAGGACAAGAACCAGCACCCATATGGGATCCTGGCACATGCAAGGCAAGGACTGAAACAACTAAGCTACTACTGCACCAGGCCCAGCTTCTCGCATTCTTCAATCCTGCAGGGCTAGACAATTTTCTTGACACTCAATGTGGACTCTATCACCAGTGAAATATTAACAAATAATGTCAAAACGAGCAGGAAATTATGCTGCAGTTTCCAAATGTATAGAGCAAAACTGTGAGTCCTGCAGGTTGATATTAGTGAACAATCTTTAGTAAAAAAATAATAATAATAAAATAATAAAAAAATATATATATATATCCAAGATTAAATATGTTTGAGAAACACTAACTTTAAATCATGGAATAAATGTTTCTGCATAGAAAGACTTATCAAATAATTCAATATGGTAATAAATATTGTGAATAAATAATGTAAATAAACATTGTGAAATGGAGGTGGGGAGTTGGACAGACTATACAGTATTTCCAAACTTATTTGATCAAGGAATTACCTCTTTTATAGAAAAAAATAACTGGAGAAACTATGGTTCCAAAAAGAGCCAATTATGAGAGCACCGCTTCTCACTGCTTCGTCTTTCTGGGCACTTGAATTTCATTGATAACACTCAAAGTCTGGAAACCAGATACCCTAAAGGAACACGCATGTCCTTGTGAGAGGCTAATGAGGGAGTTTTTCACCTAAAATCTGAAAATTGGAAGCCAAAACAGTCTTTACTAAATGGAAACGTGTTCTTGCTTGTACTCAAATCAAAGTTAAGCTGTTGAACTTTGAGTTAAGCTGTATCATCATGCTACAGATTGCTTCAAGCTACCTTCTGCATGAGTCAACCTCAAAGAGCTTACTGCCCACATCTGAAATCAGATCGTGGACATGAAACCAGGCTTTTTAATTCTAACGTTCTGCCAGATGGATCAGAAAAACAAAAATGAAGAGTTTGCCCAAGGAAAAATGTCCATAGAAAAGAGAAAGCCACTACAATCCAAAGCTTCTAAAATCTGTTTTATTGCATCGCATTACCAAAGCACTGTTTTTCATTCTCTATGGGTGTTTTCTAATTTTACATATTAATTTAGAGAAGTCATTAATTACAATGAAAAGTTGAATCTGAAATAAAGTGTTACTTGAACTCATGTATGTATAAACAGGAGATGTGGGCATTTATCATTCTATATTTGGTACAATAAGATTGGGATTTTTTTTAAGATTTATTTTTATTAGAAAGCCGGATATAGTGCTTGCTTTGGCAGCACATGTACTAAAACTGGAACAATACAGAGATTAGCATGGCCCCTGCACAAGTATGACACATAAATTCATGAAGTGTTCCATATTTTTGACAAAAAAGGAAAAAAAAAGAAAGATATACAGAGAGGATGAGAGACAGAGAGGAGGAAGATCATCAGTCTGATGAGTCACTCCACAATCAGCTGCAACAGCCAGAGCTGCACCCATCTGAAGCCAGAAACCCAGAGCTCTTCTGGGTCTCCCATGTGGGTGCATGGTCCTAAGGCTTTGGGCTGTCATCATCTGATTTCCCAGGCCACAAGCAGGAAGCTGGATGGGAAGTGGGGTTGCCAGGATTAGAACCGACACCTATTTGGTATCCTGGTGCTTGCAAGGCAAGGACTTTAGCCACTTGGCTACAGTTTTGGGCCCAATAATGGGATTTTTAATATCATTTCCCATCATAGCAATATCATTGATTCCAAAATTAGTGAGGTTTTTTTCTCACTAATATGCTCTCTTTCAAAAAATGGGCTTAATTAGAAATCAAATTAATCTATCCAGTTCATTGTTAGAAAAAGAGTGAAATACCCTTAAACCTAGAGCTTCTTTTTTCTAAAGCAAGTAAGTTAACTTCAAAAATATAAAAATCTTATAATGAAAATACTTTTTCCTTTCCCTTATTTGCATCTTTGTATTTTATATATAAAACCACATACTAGAAACCGCATTTTCCTATTAACATACTATTAATACCACGTCAATTAATGCCATAAGGTTGTAAATGGTTGTTGATGTTATGTTTGGGCTTTTAATTGATTGGGATGATACTTTGCTGGCTTTACCTTCAGGCCAGAGATGGGCTCACCAAGAAATCTTTGAACCCACTAGGATAATAAGACACTGGACTTTATGCTTGGTAAATACTTCCAATGAAAGAACCTCAACTGAATTTGAACTGTGGTAACGCAGCAAGGTGGAGAAATCCACCATGGGGAGAGGGTCCGGGGAGGGGTGGGGGGAATCCCAGTGCCCATAACACTGTGTCACATAATGCAATACAATTAATAAAAATAAATTTAAAAAGAAAAACACATACTAGAAACATTCTGATCTATTAAAAATATGTGTGTATGGACTGATCGATTTACAGACATATATTTGTATAGATGATCATTTGCTTTCCTTTGATTTTGTTTTCTTTATCTCTCAGAAACCTGCATAGGAGAAACATTCTAAACGGCTTAGAGAAACAAACTGATCTTTGTGAGGAATATAGAATCCAGCAAAGGAAATACATAACAGACATAATATTCATTGCTGTAATTTCAGAGAGCTTTTGAATTCTGATTTCCTGTTGGCCAGGAAGTAATTTGTTTTGCATAATCATCATATGTTTATGGCCCCCTCCAACTTTACTCCCCCTTCCAAAATGAAGACAGACTTGTTAAAGAAACTGAGCTTTCAGGATTTGTGCATAAATCCATGGTGTCACTTCTTGTTCCCAAATTTTCACTCGTTATAGACAACAGACGGGTTCAATTAAGGATAATGCCGATCATCTCATTTCAGTTTAATCTTTATCAGCCCTCTTGCTAAATATATTCACATTCTTCAACAATGGGAGTTAGGACTTAACATGTGAATTTTAAAGGGGAGCACAGTTAAAATGATATTTGAAGTAAATGTGTGCAGCAAACTTTCTTTTATAGTTTTTACTAATAGGATTTTATAATTGCTTGTCTGATGGTATTATTTAGGGTTCTCCAGAGAAATCGAATCAATAATACAAGAGGTCATTCATAAAAAAATGTTGGCTCACACAATCAGGAAAGCTAAGAAGTTCCACGGTATTCTTTTCTGCAAGTAGTTGACTCAGGAAAACTTTAGGTATAATATTGGTCTAAGTCCAAAGACTTATGAACCAGAGGAGCAAATGGCGTAAATGTTAGTGCAATGACACTGAAAGAGTAATTTTCCAATTTGAGCAAATAGGTGGCCAGCAGGAGGCATACATTCCAGTTTCCCCCATATTGTTTTCTATTCAGGCCCTCAATGAACTGGTTAACCTAACCCACATTGGGGAGGATAGTGACTTCACTGAGTCTACTAACTCAAATGCTAATCTGTCTACTTTAAACTAGGCATTTTTGGGTCTGCTAAAATCATTAAATTAACCACAACAAGTGGTTGTGCCCATATGCAACTCCTCAATACAAATTATATCTCTAATCAAAGACAATCACAAGGCCAAAATTCTACATGTTGTGATATCACATGAATAATGATTTTTTAAAATAGCTTAAAGTCCATTAAATCCTCCCAGAAAGGGAAAGATAAAATCCTTCAGTGACTCCTCCCTTTTTTGAATACTGAAAAAAATGTTTTTTGATAGCAAATGAGTACATTTCATGTTAAATGGTAAGAAAACAAGGGAGAGTAGAAAACAGGGCAGTAGATGATACAGTGAATAAAGCTGCCACCTGTGTTGCTGGCATCCATGTGTGGGCTGGTTCATCCCAGCGGATGCACCTCTGTTCCAGGTCCCTGCTAATGGGCTAGGACCTGGAATGTTCAGATTGCTTGGGCACCTACCACCCTCATGGAGAACTGGATGAACCTCCTGACTTCAAGTTTGGCCTAAGGCATTGCAGCCATCTCGGAGAGAGCTCTCCTTCTCTGTCTTCTTTAATCTAAATAAATGAATCTTTAAAATGAGAGAGAAAAAGAGAGAAAGGAAAACTGACATACAAATATATCCAAAGTAAAATAAGGAACAAATATCAACAACTGCTGTCCTCATTTCCATAACTGGTGACTTATTATAAATGTACTTGTAATCACTTTATCCTACTACCTTATTTCCAGCAAGTTCCTCAACTGATCATAGCTTTCTTTATTTTGTGCAATAACCAAAACTTTGATTCTGGAAGATCCTGGACCAATAATAGTCCTACCTTAATTGGTTTCTTACAATTTTCCAATGACCTTAATCATAGGCTATGAAAATCTTTGAAGATGCCTTTTAGGGTTTCCTGTCATTCAAAAATGTTTTTCTTTACCTCCAGCATTCAATTTCTCTGTAAAAATGATAAATAAATCCAGCAAATATCACAACTGCCTTCTATTCCCAATGATTCAGAGACATACATAAAGGAACTGAAGTGATCAGTTGGCAGCCTAAATTTCTAGTTAATTGTTGGTTTTCCTAGTAGTAGAGTTCCTCCTATCACCAGAAAATAGAAGCAAGCAAATGAATAAAGTTACAGAAACAGCAAAGCTAAAATTCTGGTAGCAGTTGTCTATGGATAATAGTGAGTGATGCTAATCCACTTTTTACCTAGAGACATGAGTCCTGGCTATGAGAGAAGAAGCACCACGTAACGGTTATTCTTGTAGAGCAAATATGAGGTTCTGGAGATTCTTGCCTCAATTCTGCAAGTTATTTACACCAATTGGTGCTGGAATTGAATTTTTAAAAGGCCTTTTCATATCTGTATTTAGCTAACTGCTTCAAGGTGGGATGAACATGGTAGGGAAGAATTATTTCCATAAGCTTGGGTCTACTGTTGACCCCTTTTACAGGGGAGTGAGTTGATTGGTGAAAAGTCATGCTTTGTGGAACACAACATTGCAATGGAATGGGATCATTCTCTTTCTCTCTCTCTCTCTCTTTCTCTCATATATATCCAACTTGTTCCTTAATTGCTGGTCAATTACCTTTGGGAGTGATACCATATTGGGAAATAAATTTTTACTTTTGATAACTTACAATTGGACCCGAGCTCGGCAGGCCAGTGACAGATGAGCCTTAGTTGAAATCCATCTTACTTAGCCTAAATACTCTATCCCCAACTACCAACATCCCAAACTACCAAGGTCACTATTTTAGGATTCAATGATTACTGTAATACAGAAAAAAAAAAAAAGGAAGAAACTGATATTAACAAGATGAGGTTACCCTGTCTCCTCTTGATTATTAATATTCCCCTCTTATCTTTTTTTTTTTTTTTTTTTTTTAGTTTGAAACCCATAGTTAGATAAACCCAAAGGTAGACAGGGAGATGTAAGGAGAAAATAGGAAAGGAAAGGAAAGGAAATATTGAGAAAGCGAAAGAAAGAGCTTTCATCTTCTGGCTCACTCCAAAAAGTGCCATAACATCCAGAGCTGAATCAGTCTGAAGTCAGGAGCCAGAACTTTTTCCTGATCTCTCCCATGGGTTTAGGCTCCAAGGATATGAGTCATTCTCAGCTGCTTTCTTAGGCTCACTGGCAGATAGCTAGATCAAAAGTGGAGCAGCCAGGACCCAAACCAGTGTCCGTATGAGAGGTCAATCAGCAGCTAGAGGCTTGATCTACTACACCACAACACCTTCTCCTATGACTATGTTTTGATGAAAATTTATAGAGGACAGATGTGTTCTTATTTTGTTCATTCATAAAGGAAATACTTCCATCCACATACTTCTTCCCTAAAGGTATTTATCACTAATATTTGTAGTAATGTTCTACTAAAGTCCCTGACAATCTAGCCAAACAATTGGCAGGGGCCCATGAAAGAGTATATAATCAAACACTTGGCCATTTTTTCCTTCGAAGTATGTTAGAAAAGAAGCAGATACACAACTACAGGTTCTACCTGTGTGCAGGGCTTGCTTTTATTGAAGGCCTTTGGGAATATCTCAGAGAGGGTCTCTATTGCTGCAGCTGCTTGATTTCAGATAGTACCAGGCTATTATGTGGGAGTTCCAGGTCTACTTTCATCAACAGATTACGGGAAACTTGGGCCCGGTGGGGTGGCCTAGCAGCTAAGGTCCTAGCCTTGAATATGCCCGGGATCCCATATGAGCGCCGGTTCTAATCCCGGCAGCTCCACTTCCCTTCCAGCTCCCTGCCTGTAGCCTGGGAAAGCAGTCGAGGATGGCCCAAAGCCTTGGGACCCTGCACCCGTGTGGGAGACCCAGAAGAAGTTCCTGGATCCTGGGTTCAGACTGGCATAGCATCGGCCGTCGCCCTCACTTGGGGAGTGAATCATCGGACAGAAGATCTTCCTCTCTGTCTCCCCTCCTTTCTCTATATCTGACTTTCCAATAAATAAATAAATCTTAAAA